ATTTGTATATTTTTGTAGCAACCTAGTACACTGTTATATCTTGTCTGAATATTGAAAATAATCTTGGATATACGTTACACCCTATGTTCATGCTACGAGTCCCTTCATTTACACAAATAACCTACATCAAATCAAATGTGCCGGCGAGAGTACACATCTACGAGAAACCCCTCAGTGATGATTACAAAGGGTTTATGGAATACCTTCAGTCGGAATCTACGTGGCACTAGCGCAGGAGGAGGTACCCGAGAGGCGATACTAGGCAAACTTTCACCTGAGCACCTGCAGCACATCGTAGAGCTCACAGAAGGCCCAGTCTTCAACTCACCCATGCTTCTGGAATGGATATCTCGAATCTGTCAAAGATATGCTTACTGATGAGACCCCGCCAGGTCCAATTACACAAAGGACCCTGGGTGGATGCAGCAGCACGCGCACGGCCGCGGCTGTCAACGATGACCCTTCCACGACCTCGTCTAAGACGTGCCGTCTCCGCTCGGCGCTGCGTCCCTAGAACAAGTCGCGAATGCCTTCAACCCACGAACCGCCAGCCTGTGGAGGCGTCCGCGGGCTGCACGGGCCCGTTCTTGAAATAATTCGGAGAAGTTCCGCAGTCGGGCATCATAGCGCAACAGTCGTCTGATGGATCATGGTTCCGTGCCGGGCCGACCAGGGCCAGTGCGAGAACGATGAAAGACGCGCCGCTCCCCGAACGGATTTGTCAACTCGGCAGAAACATTCCAAGCTCCGGAAGGGATATCCTCTCTTTTCGGCCGGCTGAAGACAAGCGCTGGGCCGCCCACCGTTCCGAGTGGCCGCCGTTCGCCGACATGTGCTGCTGTGCTGCCGTGCAATCGGCAACGTCGCGGCAGTCGCTATTATTCGAGTCATGGTGCCTCCTCGTGGCCGGCATTCCCAAGCGCAAGATTGAGCGCCGGGTGATGTGCACACCATGGTACGCAAGCTGCCTTGTACCGCAGTAGGCCAGGATCCGGAAAATGGATGATGCCTGACCAAGCACTCAATCAGCTCAACGGAGCCACGTTCGGCGCAAACGCTCTGACAGGTCGGGCAGGGTGGATCGCGGTGCGACGTTGTTGCCATTGCCCTGTGCAAAAAACGCGGATATTGAACTGGCTAGAACGGCCAGATTGGGCAAAAGGCCCCAGAGGCGGGCAGTTCGCGATTAACCCATGGCTGGTCATTGCACCCGGAGATAGCCGCGGAAGAAAGATGAAGAAACAAACACGCGAAAATGTTTCTCTGTAAGCATGCAGGCAGGTCGGCAAAAGACCGTCCATCTTTTTTTTTTTTTTTTTTTTTCCGTTTCCATTAAATGTTTCAACTCCCCGGCCTTGGGATCCGAGGAGCGGGGACGAACTCGTCCGCCGCGTGGTGGGCTGCATGAAACGGTGTACATCTGGGCAGACGCGATAAGGCATGACATAGGAAGTGGGATGGCCTGAATTCTATCTTTGAATACCGTATTGGGAGCTTGCGATCGCTGTCTCGGATTAGAGCAGAGAGACGCATCTGCAGCTAATGCGGCATTGCGGACTCTACTTTTCGGATGGAAGCAGACGGCGGAAAGAAAAAGCAAGTTGCGAATAGGGGTGACCTGGCAGCGTTTGGCGAGGGGTGGTCGCGGAAGGTTGAAGAGGGAGAGGGAGGCCAAGGGACCGCGCCCAAGGATCAAGGGTCGTGGGTCGTGGTCGTGGGGATCACTGCTAGCGGGCTGCACGCGAGGAGATTCGAGATGGGGCTGCTTTCCCAGTTGGGAATCCAATGTTTCTCGCTTGGGTTGTGGGCTGGAAACGCGAGCATTTAGCCAAGATGAAGATGGCATGGGCTCGGTGAGGTTGACTCGCACCGAATATGGTCGTGTAACGAGCAACGAGGCAATAAGAGGGAGAGCAGTGACGATGGCGACAAGACAGAGAGAGAGGTTCAATGTGTCCGAGGCAGCCACGCAGCCACACGCGGTCAACGGCAGGCGGCCTCGCCGCGGGTGGACGGGAATCTGGAAAAGCTGGATCGGCAACGGAGGGGGAACGTTTGACGTTTGTTGGAAAGGCGGCGCGTTCGCAACGCGGCCTCCTTGCCTCCCTCGTGCGTAACCCCCCGTCTGCGGCAGAAGCCCTGGCCGGCTTCCATCGCTGAAACGGGAATTTCTGGTGCCACGGCTGGGCGCAACGGTTCCTGACGGCGCTGGTCGGATTGGCGTCCTGTCGAGAATGGCATGCCAATTGAGAGGGACGGTCGCACCGTCTCTGTCAGGAAGGTTTGCCAGGTCGTTGGACGCGGGCTGACAACCGGATTGCCGGGGCAGGGTTGATCGGGCTGGGTGGTGAGGTCTGCTTGGTCGAGGTGCGTGGGCGCGATCTGCTAGCTCAGGAACGGTTCCAAATGATGGTGGTGGGACTTGCATAGGAGGTGGGCGGTGCTGTTGTGCCACGGGAACGACGTCTCTGAGGGAGAGAACTTGCAAGACATCCCAGGTCAGGCAAGCTGTTTGCCGGGTTTTGGGGGCTTGGGTCGTTTGGTCGAGAGAAGAGGAGAAATGCTCGTGTCTAGGAGATGATGAAATTGCTCTGCGAACGGGTTCGGAGGAATGGAGGTGAATAAGATAAGGTGATATTGTCGAGGTGCGTGCCCTATCAGAAGCAATCAAAGATATCGAGGCCCCAGAGCCAGAATTCCAGGCATGGCGGGCGTGACGCTGTGCCGCGCCAGCGTCCAGCCCAGGTGTTAATGGAAGGAACTTGTCGCGCAGTATCCATAAGGTACGCGGTAATACTGTACCTATTCCTGGGTGAGGTCGGGTGCGTTGAGATTGAGAGGCGAGAGGGTGTCTTGTAGATTGTGCTAGTGCAGGTTCACGGACAATTTCCTGCAGGCCGTGTTTCGGTGCATCTTGGGAGCTGGTTTCTCTGCTTGTCAGTGGCTGCAACGGGCAAGCTTTCGTGGGATTTTGGTGCTGACTGCCGCGGCATAAATATGGATGATGGATGCAGGGCATCTGGGCATCCACCATGTTGATGGTTAGACGAGGGGTGAGGGCGCTGTAAGGACAGGCTCTGTGACTCGAGTAGCAGCGCAGATCATGCTCGATGTTTGACATTGGGGAGTGTTGGGATGGGCGGTGGTGGAAAATAGCAGTGTTTAGGAAGTCGATAATGCGAACCTTGTTGCGTACCTTCTGCCTGGTGTAAGAGTATGCAAGTTTATGTAAGCCATTAATGCAACGACACATTCGCTGGCAAGTGTTGCTGGCGATGTCCATCTGCTGCCGCTGCTGCTTCTGCTGGAGGCAACAGCACAGGCAAGTGCCTCCCGTCCTTGAATCCTTCCTGCCTGCCATTCACGTCCGTTTCGGTGACTCGGTGTCGGTGTCGTGTCAGTGTCACTTTCCGTCCTTGGTCCCCAGATTGAGTGGCTTGACAGGCGCACCTGTGCTTTTTTCCTTGCTGCCCGTGCGTGCCCTTCCATGGTCAATGTGTCCTTGGAAGGCCCATTTCCCGGAAGCCCCTCCACTGAATTTTCCATTGTTGGGCAGCTGCTCCTCACGTAGAGAAGTATCGCGAGTCCAGACCTGCGCCTCGTCTTGATGCGTGGCATTTTGCAGTGTCCTCCCAACGACCGGCAGCCCAGCTAATCAACACCCAATCAACTGGAAGTCTCGGGTTATTCCACCACTTCGCACAGCAGCAGGCACCGCGTGCGCTCTTGTGCTCACTTCACTTTCTTCTTCCCGTGCGCGGCAGACCTCTAGAGAAACAATTACAAGGCACACCCCTGACAGTCACTGCATCCACTGTCGGGGAACCACCTGGCACTGACAAACACAGGGTGCTGGACCCCTGCAGTACATCTCAAATCCACTGGACCCGACTCCAACAGGCCAGGTCCCCCAATCCAATTGGATCCCTTCCCATCCCATCCACGTCCCATCCCAATCCCAATCAGCCATTCAATCCACGTCAAGCAACGCGCACCAGCACCAAGACTGCCACCAAGCAAGACCAGCACCAGCACCAGTCCTCGCTCGCTCGCTCACACCAGCCAGAGAAACCGCACTACGAAGCTCATTTTTCATTCCCCTACGTCCAGACTCCTACGCTGGCAGGCATACACTCATTGCCAGTCAAGACCCCCGTCATCTCTCACTTCCCTTCATCTTTCCCACCACCCCCGGGCCTCTTTTTCCTGCTTGGCTTTTTCTCTCCTCTCGCCGTCTGCCCTCTCTCTCTGGTAGCCTTCGCTGCAATTACACGTTTCTGCGGCCCTTGAGACGTAGAAGATCGAACATCAAGCTCCAAGACGCACACATTGCCGTATTCTATGGCCTCGTACTCGACTCGCATTCGACACCTTAGCGGGCTGATACGACCGCTCCAAGAGGTTTAGCACAAATATCGAGCCCACCGGAATCACTTCGACCGAACCTGCTGCAGTACCCTGCGACCTGCATCCAACTATATACATACATAATACGAGTGCCGGGTACAGACCACGCGGTATCCATCCGTACACTACGAATTCACTGCGCATCGCTGCTGGTCATTTTACTACGCCACCACAGCTCAGAAAACCCTTGGACAAGAAGTCAATCTCGCTCCAGACGTGCCCTGCCGTCTCTCAATCTCTCAAGAGTCGACGACCTCAACTGCCGCTGCGCCGTATCCATTCTTTCCCAAGGTCCACCGCCTACCCTACCCAGCTCCATCTCTGGGTCGCTCCAGCCTCTCGCTCTCCGCTGTCGACGTCGCCCACGCCCATCCGCATCCACTGCAACTGGGCCCTGTACGACTCCCCTTGTTCCGTCCAACGACACACGCCACGGGGCGAACCGCACTGCCTTGTCACGCGTTCGTCTGGCTGCCCGCTGGCGAATCCTGCAAACCTCGTCTTTCAAACAGACCCATTGACCCTCAACTTTACCTTCTACACGTACATCCCGTCGATTGATGACACAAGTTGTTCATCCCGCGCCCTTCACCATGCCTACTTCCAAGCGATTCGAGCTTCCCAAGCTCGACTTCAAGTTCGGCTCCCTGACCGACGGAACCGACATTCCCCCGCCGCTTCCCAGCCCCGTCCAGGAGGTCCCCACGCCTCCCCAGACCCCGCGTGCGAGCGAAACCAAGGACTCCGAACCCGCCGTCAAGGAAAAGGTCAATGACAAGACGAATAGCCACGGCCCGGCAGTGCCCAACTCGCCGGCCACCACCAATGGTACGAGAGGATTCTCAGATGACACGCCACTTTCTCCAGCAGTTTCAAGCAGACAGGGCAGCATTCGTCGTCTCTTCAGCCGAACATTACTGAACCAAGCATATGCAGAGGGCGAATCGCAAGCGAACGGTGGCGCTCCCCGCCCCATGAGCCGTAGTCAGGGCAGCATTGTCGACGAGAAGAAGGCAAAGCGCAGCAGCGGGTGGTTCAAGAGGCTCAGGTCCCACGACTCTTCACCGCCCCAAAAACGCTCCAGCGTCGTTTACGAGCACCCCAACAACAGCCAGACGCAGAGCCAAAGTCGGCCCCAAAGCAGGCCCCAAGTTCAGGGCCCCCCGCCACCCATGATTCCCGAGCTCAGCGCACTCGACACCAAGCTCGACGTCTCGGACGGAGGCAGCCTGGGTTCTGACCTGTTCAAGAACATTAAGTAATTACTGACTCGGAGCGGACGCGACTCCAGACCAGTCAGGAACGAAATATGCAGAGTTACCGGTTTCTGGAGCTGGCAACCGGTGCTTTGTCGGACACGAACACACCTATATGCGCCGACGAGCGAACGACCGAATCCGAGCGGACACACCAATACGATTTTCCTAGCGTTTACCTAAGTTGAATTCTTTTCGAGTCAGAGCTGGGGACGGAGATGGCGGTGGAGGAGACGAGATAGTATGTGAGACGGAGGCAAGACTGGAAGAAGTTATGCAAGATACCCAGCTCGCACCGCGGGCTCATTCTGACATACGATGTTTACACTTTCTTTGTCATGTTTGATTTTTCGCTTCATCTTATTGCGCTGTTGGAACACACTGGCACCACGACCACCAATTTTTCAAAGCCCCCATCCTGTTTTTCCTTGCTGTACGACTTATCTTCTGGTGTACATGTTGAGCCGGTGGTTTGGTGTGAGGACTGGCGGTTGAGAAGGGGCCGATTTCAGACTATGAACCAGGCATCAAAATAATGCATCAAATTGGAGCAGTCAGACCGAAGGACTGAGGAGGCGGAATGAATCTGGGGAGGACACAGACGAAGAAGGGGCGTCTCAACTACTACGGCTGGGAGCGTCATCGGGTTTGAGAGCTCGAAACGAGTGTTCAGGTGCTGCTGGTGTCTGTGGCAACTGCAGCTGCAATAAAATCTACATTTTACGGCCTACAAGCAGTTTCACGATCAGCTTTGCTGCTGGTTACATATTGATTCCCGAGGGTCGTCCTTGGAGACACGCGATCTGACCTCGGTCACAGGATCTTGTGTTCAACGCCAGGTATCATGGCACAAGAAAGACTCATCAATATCGATCGTCACAGCTTACATCAACTCATGTTCACAGCAGCAATCGCGAAGAAGAGGACACAGCGAACCCCGCGTCATCCGAAGGACGCATTGACCCCTTGAATGCATCATGTGGCGAGAGGCTTGCAGCTGCAGGGCGATTTAGCGCAGAAATTCTCTGCGTGGCAAGTCGTTGGAGATGCTGCGGGTGCTGCTGTCGCTGCCGCCGGCGCCAGGACAAGTCACTCTGCAGCTGAGCAGCCCGGTCCAGTCGCCGTCCGGAATGGCGCCAACTTCGGACGCCATGTCAGGCCTTACCCGACCTGGGACGTCCGGAGCGCGCACGGCAGCGAGGAACTGTCACTGCCGGCGCCGGTCATTTTGCCGCCTCAGTGAGCTGCAGCCCACCACCCAGCTAGATCCGTGAGGTGGGAGCTTGAGCCAATGGCGGAAACAACGGGTCCCTTTCCCTCCTCCGCGCTAGCCAGTGGCTGATTCGTGCACCGGTCGCACCTGGGTAAGGTACCAACCCAAACAAACGTCATTGTGAGTTCGCCAGAGGTTCGGCCGGCCGGGTCCAGTTACCGAGCTAGTGCCGTGCGCCGGGAGCTTTTTTTGGAGCAAGCAATCCTTCCAAACCTCGAAAGTTGACGTCGTCAACGTTTTGACAGCTGTCACTGTACACCTTGTTTTCCCCTTTCGCCTCCACAACTGACAACCATGGCGACGGGCTTGCGAACGACGACGACGCTCCGTCCGCTGGCGTCTGCGCTGCGGCCGGCGCAGTATCTGCCCCGCGTCGCACGACGATACAAGTCTGGCCCGTATGGCTACACCCAGGCAAAGGCGCTGGTCTTCTCGAAGGAGGGCGAGCCCCGCGATGTGCTGCAGTACGGACGCACCAATTGATGCGAAGCCTCGGTACCCGAGCTGACGAGCTGCACAGATTGCACACCCACTCCATCTCCCCGTCGATCCCCTCCTCCGCCGTCCTCCTCCGCGCTCTCGCCGCCCCGATCAACCCCGCCGACATCAACACCGTCCAGGGCACATACGGCTCCAAGCCCCCCTTCACGTCCCTGATCGGCACCCCCGAGCCCGCCGCGATCCCGGGCAACGAGGGCGTCTTCGAGGTCGTCTCCGTGGGATCCAAGGACCTCGGCCTGCAGCGCGGCGATTGGGTCATCCCCGCGGCGTCCTCCTTCGGCACATGGCGCACCCACGCCGTCGCGGACGCCAAGGATGTGATGAAGGTCTCGAAGGAGGGCCTGACGCCTACGCAGGTTGCGACCGTCAGCGTCAACCCTTGCACGGCGTACCGCATCCTCCGCACCTACGGCCCCGGCGAGATCAAGGCGGGCACCAACGGGGGCATGAATGCGCTGGAGCCGGGCCGCGGCGGCTGGTTCATCCAGAACGGGGCCAACAGCGGTGTCGGCCGGGCTGCGATTCAGCTTGGAAAGCTCTGGGGGCTGAGGAGTATCAATGTCGTTAGAGAGCGGGAGACGGAGGCGGAGACGGAGACACTGAAGAAGGAGCTCAGCGACCTCGGCGCCACAGCCGTGGTCACGGAGAAGGAGTTCCTGGCGAGGGAGTGGAGGGATCAGCTCAAGGAGCTGACGAGGGGCGGTCGCGAGCCTGTCGGGTTGGGGTTGAACTGCGTCGGCGGCAAGTCTGCGACGGCCATCGCGAGGAGTCTTGGAGAGAGCGGCACGATGGTGAGCTACGGTGGTATGGCGAAGCAGCCCGTCATGCTCCCCACCGGGCTCCTCATTTTCAAGGATCTGAGGTTTGTGGGATTCTGGCTCAGCAAGTGGAACGAGCGGGATCCCCAGGGGCGCAAGTTTGCGATTGAGGACGTGTTGGGCATGATTCGCGAGGGCAGGTTCAAGGACGTGCCTGTGGAGGAGGTGCCGTGGAGCTGGGAGACAGAGGCGGAGAGCCTGAAGGAGGCTGTTCAGGGGGGACTTGGTGGGTTCAGGAAGGGTAAGGGTGTTTTTGTCTTTGGTGAGACATGATGGGAATGTGTATATGTAGGATATCATGAGGTATAGATGACTTCCAATGACGAGAGAGACTCATGTGGACTTGAGCTATGATTGTTTTCGTTGTTGATATGCCTGACGGCGAGTGGCCGGAGCGGTATCTGAGGGATGCCAGATAGAAGGTATCTCAGACTGAGTGTCAGACTGAGTGTTGGGCCCTAATGGCAGGCTTGGTATGACCTTGAAGATTAGATTCATGAAACGTCTGCCATGGTTCTTGTTTTAATCTACCAGGCTCTGGACGGTCTCTGGCTACATTTCGGGGACGCAGAACACGTACATGGCTACTTGATATAGGTTACTGTCCTAATGTTGCTCATCTTTTTCTTGCGCCAATTGCAGACCAGAAAGTCGTCCCGGATTGTTGTGGACTTCAACGACCTAGGCAGGAGTTGATAATGCGCTAATGCAAATTGCCCGAAACAGTGAACGGCCTTACTTGGCCTCTTACCTTTCAAGTCACGCGGCATCATCCGCGTCTGCTTGTTCTGCATGGAATAGTACAAAGAGGGCATGCACAGGTTTAGTGACTGTGGTGCAGCATGAGCTTAGGTTATTTGCGCGGTGTCTGCAGCCCCTTTGTAGGCTCCATTCCTGGAGGACTTGCGGTTGGTTAGTTGGTTACTGACATTGCCCGACTGAGCGATTACTTGGAAATGACTGGTGAGTTTTGTAGACGTTGCCCTTTGGGTAGGATATAAAACTTCCTCGACATAGACCTCGAGAGACAATCCCCACCTCCCGCATGCTCCTGACCTTCTGACCACCTCTACGGCCGGATATGGGATACGAAGGAACGATTGTATTGTGGGAGAAAACCACTACCGGTGCAATCTTGACTAAATGAAGCTACAGAGGTAATTGGGAGGTATTTGAAGCTTTGCGTGAGCTGTGATTCGATTATTTGACGCAGGGCCAATGCTCGAGTTTTGCTATCGATTTGTTTGCGCTGATGATTTGGGGTCTGAGAGGCACGCCTATTGCTGGCTGAACGAGAAGGATACGTGGGTAACTAACATGTTCGTCTATACGTGTATAACCGTCGTGGTCATCTGTCTCTCCTGGCTGCTTGTCCAGACGCGTATACACCACAGCAGACATCAGCAGTTTTTTTCGATCCAAGTTTTTGATTTACACAGTTTGGCAGCCAGGCCGAAATAGAACTTAGATGACAGGATCGTACAAGCCCTTTGTGAACTGTTGTAGAAGAAGAACGCGATGTATGCCATTTGTTGCTAGAGAACTTAAATCACTGGTAAATAAAGTCTGTTAAATACCAGGAGACTTGCTGTGGCATTTTCTTTGGGGCTGGCTATGGATTTGAAAAGATACATGTTTGGTTCGGTGCATGAAGGTCTCTCTGCCTCAACAATCAAACTCTTTGATAAGCATGAGGGAATGTACTGATCTGGCCTCCGCAGTCTTGACGGCTGTACACAGAAAGAAGCCAGGACGTGGACGTCCTGGATGAACGAGGTTTATTTTCCAATAGGTCTCTTTCTATTGTTCACCATCCGCGCTGTTATATTCGTCCTGAATATCAGGGTGAAAGTGATCAAAATGCTGGTTGTTCGCTTGAAGGTAATGAGGATGGCTTGGGTCTTAGGATGTGTTCCCACAATACCTCAACTATAAATCCATAAGAATGGCCAAAACAACTACATTTGGTTGCTTGTGACAATAGCTCGTTGATGTTTGGCTGATATATAGGCCTTCTCACATGCTGGACACCGTATGTAAGCCCGTAAAGATATGTTCACCTTCCGTTTCTGATGACTGAGAAATGCGAAGCTAGTTTCATTTTTGCATTGAGAGGTGAAGTATCTAACCCGACTCGGTCGCTATGTGCTTCCCCCACGATGAGATCTGGATTACCGTCGTACCTCCGAAGGATTAGTCCAGAATATCACACAATCAATAGATAGCGATGAATGTGTACAACGATTTCAAAAGACCGTATTCCCCAGAAAGCTGAACTCAAAACATCATGGATTTGACTGCAAACTCTGCCCTTGGGGGTGAGTCATTCTGCCGTTCCCTAACAACGATCACACCATCGTTTACATCGCCTGGTTGGGCTTTGCACGATCGCTCTGCTTATCTTAAATACTGCT